CTATACGGTACAGGGGTAATTTGGGAATTACATATTGTACTGTAGGACTTACTCTATGATTATAAATAGACCTGTTTGTAATCCTAGGTCTTTGAGAGAGTTGGATCCCTGAATTTTGTAAACCCTTTTCTGAATATTGAAAGGAATACGCCGCTCTGCTCTCGAGGATGTAGACATCTTTGCCGAACCTCGTTAAATCTCTGTGTTCTTCTGGATTTGTGTCGATTGATGTTTTCTTCGCCCTATTTTTTCTCAACAGCTCACGCTGTTGATTTGAGCTAGATTGAATCACAATTCATAAATCATTATTTTGGATGATCATGAAACTATATTTAAAGCATTTCTTATTTAAAATATTTGAAGATTTGTGCACAATAATAGAAATTTATTAGGGACACATCAATATTAATATTGAAATAATATCATATCGTTTTTTTCATAGGTATGCATGTAAAAATTGAAATTAAGTTATTAGATATGTAAATGCATGGGAATTTAGTGGTATGTAAGTCTTTCAATAAATTAATATCTCTAAATAATGGAATAGATAAGGAATGTCAAGTGAGGTGATGAGAAACTATTACAAAAATGAAGCTTTAAATTTTAATGTAATTATGTATCTAATATACATGTTTTAACATTTATTAATTATGATCCTAATATTTTTAAGATTATATAAGAAAGCTAATAAAATATCAATAAATTTATTTTTATATATGATGTGTGGTACAAGATTTGTAGTGGTAGAATAGTGAATTATCATTTTAGAGTTGTACGAGCATTTAACACACACTCAGAAGAGGGAAGACAACCAATAGTGGCATCATAAGTTTTTGCGTAGAAAACCTAGTTGAAGAGATCTACTATAAGTTGATGATTACATAGATCTATTATCGCACAAGCAGAGCAGAAGTACTAAATTTTTTATTTACAATTGTTGTTTTGAAGTACTTGTTGTAAGGAACAGACGACAACCGATAGCGACCGGTAAGTGGTGGTCCACTGTGGTCAGCGAGGGATGACGACGGTCGGCCATGGTCGACAGCAGTTGGCGGTGGTCGATGACAGTCGGTTGTGGTCAACGACAATAGGAGCGGTGCTGAACTTCAGCTCATTCTCAAAAATTCAGGCTCTTTGAAAGCCTCAAGCTTTATTCTCATCAAGAGAGGGTGGGGCTTTATTTATAAAGTCCCGATTACAATTGATGAAGGAACATGAACTATCCTGATCGAACTGCCTAGAAATGTTTCAATGATCAGACATGTTTGATTGAGATTTGAAAGTCTTAATGATGTCAGAACTGAGGAATCTTGGGCTCGTTGAAATCACCATGTCGAGATGCTCGATTAGACAATAAGCTCGTCAAATTTGACGTTTGTTTAATCTTCCAAATATGCTATGAAAGCTTCCAAAAATGATTTAATGACTTAATCTATATTTGATACTTCGATTTGATCAATTTTGATATTATTGGGTCTTTCTCGTCGAGCCGGTTGATTTGAGTGTAAGTTTATTGAAATTGGAGCAATGTATGAATTTTTGAATATTTTTTATTTAAAATATTATCTCGAGATTTATGTAAGTCATCGAGATTCATATTAATGGATAGATTCTAATGCAATTATGACACTAAGATACTATATAAACAAATATGAAATATATTTTTTAAATATGTAAACACATAAAAATTATGTAGCATGCATGTAATACCCAAATAAATATTACGAGGTGTCTTATTTTATTTTTATTCTTTTATGTTTTAATTTATTTAATTTATATTTTTTTTCCTGAAAATAAAATATGTATGATATCTTATAATATATTTATTTCTCTTTTAAAATTTATTAAAATAATTTTAAGATTTTCTGAATATTTTTAAAAAATATTTAATGTATTTAAAAAAAACCTAACAGATATACAAAAAAAATTGTACGAAAAAAAATATAAATTTTAAATAAAATAAAAAGTTAAAAAATTTTGAACGGAAATAAATATTACATGTATCTAGCATTTCAAATAAAATTATGTCATATAAATTATATTATTTATAATTAAAACAAATCAATCTAATCTCTTTTCCTCCTCGACGTTTCGTGTGAACCATACCGGTTGATGTTATATATATATAAATCAAACAGGAGAACGATTGAAGAAACGAAAAAAATAGAACGAGAAAAATCACACAAGAAAAGAACACACAAATTTATGTGGTTCGACAAATTGTCTACGTCCACGGAGTTACAGAAGATTTTATTACTTAAGGAATTTACACTAGTCGATCACATTGACTTAAAAGAGAAATCTCTCACTCTCACTCCGTTAATCTCTCTTATTCTCTCTTTTTTTCTCTCTTTACACCGAGATACACCGAAGAAGACAAATTTACAAGAGAAATAAACCTAATTTCTCTTCTGCCGCAAGTCACCACGAAGAAGCCAAGGGAGAACAATAATTTTCTTCTTTCTTCTTTCGTCACCGCAAGGAACAATTTCTTGCACTTTCCTTCCTTCTATCCTGAGGAAGCCCGAAGAGGAATAATGTGACTTCTAAAAATTGAAAGAGAGCCGTCTGAAGTCTTTTATCACAAACAGAAGAGAGCGAAGGGATGCTACGCTTCACAACATAGGAAGGCCATAGGAAAGCAGGAGCGGTTGACGCGCGACTGAAGATGCAGGAGGCGCAAACGAGAGATCGCGACCTTTCGCGAGAAGCGGTTGACGCGCGACTGAAGAGGCAGGAGGCGCAAACGAGAGATCGCGACCTTTCGCGATCAGAAGAGCAGGAGCATGAGTTGGCGCGATTTCGCGAAATGGGTGGCGGGAGTGGATCGAGCTCCAACGCTAACATTAACTGCCCTGAAATAGGCATTAAAAAATCATTTTTATTATTAAAGACGTTTTTTTTTTAGATTTACATATATATCATATAATTCTTATATATTTACACATCTAATTCCTAAAATTTGATATTTATGTTAGCTCTACTTAATTTATTTAAATATTTTTATGTGGTAATTGAGTGAGATATACATGTAAATTGATAAGAATTATGTGGTATGTATGTAAATGCCTCCTTTTATTGTTATTATTTTTTTTTTGGGCTTATTTCGCCGGGCAACTCTCTCGACGGCGGCTTGGCTCAGGGAGGCGATTTTCAAAACGGAGCGGAAGCGCAAGGGATATCACTGTTTTTTAAACCCTAATCGCTTTCGTATTGTCAAAATTCTTCTTCCACCATGTGGTTATGGGACTCTTTTCTGAATTGGCTGCGAAGGTAACCTGATTCGACTGCATTGGTTCGGATTCTGTCGATTCATTTACGATTCGTAAAATGCTTTTGTTAATTCCTTTTGATTTCCTGTGGCGGTTTCTTTATGCCTTGATATTTGTTGCAGAAGGCAGACAGCTTTTTAGGGTTTGATTCGACTTTTGCGGCTATTGTTATTGATGAGTCGCCTTTTTTTTAATGTTTCTGACAAGCTTATTAGCATTGATCCAAGATAATTAGATGCAATGGTGAGGGGGAGGAAGGAAGAAGCAGAATCTATATTTATTTTCTTTAATGAATCTTCTGTTTCTATCAATCTATGCTATATATAAATATATATCTGTAATCGTCTAAACTGTAAGCTGTTCCTGCGAAATGATTTCATTTTGGAACACCGGACATTACAAGTTTTTCTGCAACCAGCTTTTCATGTTATCGAAAGTCAGAAATTTTGAACAGTTTTTGAGTTCTTCATGTGTTCATCAGAAGATTCAGATTATTTTCTTCAAAATATGTCGTCTGCTTGTATTGAAGATTCTGCTTTTCTTATTTCTGCAGCTTCTTCTTCAAACAGGAAATGGAGTTATCCTTAATCGGACTCCAGAATGCTGGAAAAACATCACTTGTGAATGTTATTGCGGTCCGTATCTGTGATTTTCTGTTGTCATTTGTAATTTTCATTTTTTTTTCTCCTGAATAATGCTTCACCTTGGCTTATTCAGTTGTCCTTTTGCAGACTGGTGGATACAGTGAAGACATGATTCCAACGGTATATATACAGCAGGATTGATATTTCTTCCTGTTTCAGTCAACCTATCACTTTCATCTTATGAACCTAACTATACTTGGAAGATTTACTTACATACATACCACTGAATTCTTACGTATTTACATATCTAATATTTAAACTTGAATTGTTTTCATTAAATAAATCTAAATATATTTTTGTTTGATATTGAAGGTTGGGTTTAATATGAAGAAGGTTACTAAAGGAAATGTCACTATAAAGTTATGGGATCTTGGAGGCCAACCAAGATTTCGCAGCATGTGGGAGCGATATTGCCGTGCAGTCTCTGCTATTGTGTATGCTTTTTTCCAATCCTTCAAATTTTATCTTTTCCATTTTTAGTTGTTGTTTTTTATTCAAATTTGTTAGTTTGGCTATGTACCATGATGGTAAAATCTTATATGGCAGTGATTAGAGAGAACTTTTCAGAAATCATGTGAAAATGCTAACTTATTTTAGAAAATTAACAATAATTAGATATATTATTGTCCTTTTGAATCACTGGGGCTATGGGATTATAGAACTGATCTAAGATAGCCAGCTAAGGTTGAAACTATTCCAATTGGAAAAAAGGCTGAACCTAAGTTTTAAGATTATATATCTACTCGTAAGATGAATGTTAAACTTATATGGACCAAACTTCCAACATGTATGTACAAAGATCCTTCTCGTGAAGGATTTAAGGATTGTTTTTTGGAAGACGTAATTATTTTGAAACAATTTAATGAAATTTGTAATGAAGTTCATAATAGATTGATAAGTTATAGTCGAATTAGCTTTGAAAAAGCTGCATAAAGGGTAAAACCTTTGGTCTAGATGAGACGCTTATCGAGATTTAAAGAATGTCAAAGGATTAGAGAATAAATATTTTTGCAATGATATTTCATAAGGAAGAAAAGTTCAAGTTCATGCTAATTATTGAGAAATCAAGCTTACGAGTCACCAATAGAGCTATGGAGTGGTTAGTTGAACTTACACTCAATTCTAGAGAATCAATTTGGATATCTTAATATGAGCTTATTAATATTGAGACTATATATGATTATCACATGAATTAATTTGGCATACCACGAAGTAGAGATCCATATATTAAATATATGTTCTTATTATGAAACATATGTATGATGGAGCAATGGTTGATATTAGAAGTAATTATGGAGCAACATAAAATTTTTCAAATATTGTAGTTTTACATCAATGATCAACATTGAGTTCATATTTTGTTGTATGGTTGTGTACATACGTACAAAATATATTTAAAGTGAGGTGGCTTGATATATTTTCTTTAATAGATAATCTAGTTCTAATTGGTGAGGTGCTTTTTAAATAAATAAAAATTAAAATAATAGAGAAAATGCTTAGAAAATAGAGGTCTTAGAATTTGGGGCTATTTGATTTGTTGAAAATTAAATGTAGAGTAAGAAGGAATATAGTGTAAAATAAATATAATGTATTTGAAATATTTGATTTTTTTTAAGAACTTAAATGGAAAATTTTGAGATAAAAAAAACTATGCAAAACAATACTAATTCAAAAAAAGTCTACGTTATTTGATTGAGTGTAAAGTAAATACAAGATATCATTATTTTGTGTTTGATTTAATCTAAAATAAATTAAGTGTAAAGCTCTTTGATGGTGAACTAGTGAAAAAAGTTATCAAAATGACGATTCATAAGTTATCAAAAGTTACATGGATATAAGTTATCAAAATGATTTGCAAAAAATTATTCAACAACACTTGTCAATAATAATTGTGAAATGGTGATTCATAACACTACATAATGCTAATGATGATGTCGATGTTTTAATAAACCCTATACTGAAACTTATTGTCAATAATAATTGTGAAATGATGATTCATAACACCACATAATGCTAATGATGATGTCGATGTTTTAATATACCCTATACTGAAACTTATACAACTTCATGCCTTGAAATGGTTCATGTCCCCTCGATTTTCACCACCTGACAACTTATGCATTAGTTAGCACATTAAAGAATGGTTGCCATTGATCCTTTAGAGGCTTTGATTTATCTTTTTTAGTTGAAATGAGAATTCCAGCATGCATACTGTAGTTTTTGGGAGGGAAAGAAAATATAATTATTTCTCTTCAATTTCCATAGACTCGGTTACAAGATAAATAGCAGGGAAAGACCGCCACATTAAGAAAGCCATAAAATCCTCATGCCAGAAAAAGAAAATAAAAATTACCATAAATAAATAATCTTAAAAGTAGAAACTACTAAAAATAATAAAAAAATAAAAAATAAAAGATATAAAAAAGGGAAAAATCCCTAAAATTCCAACACCCCCACAATTTGAAGCATAGATATCTATCATGCATAACTTGCTTACAAGAAACTCAAAACTAGGCCTGAAAAGTCCTTTGGTGAAGTACATCTATAATTTGTTGTGTTGTTGGGGTGAAAGACATCTAAATAGTTTTGCAATCAATCTTCTTTTTTATGAAGTGTCTATCAATCTTCACATATTTTGTGCGATCATGTTGTAATGGATTTTCTTCAATGCTCACAACAGTTTTATTGTCACAATACAACTTCATTGGCATCTTTATAGGGATTCGTAGCTCTTCAACAATGCTCTTGAGCCAGAACATCTCACATACTCCATTAACCATACCTCGATATTCTGCAACAACTTTACTCATTGCACCACATTATGTTTCTTAATTTGCATTGTAACTAAGTTTTCCCTAACATAATTACATTATCCGGATGTAGATCTCTTGTCAACAATTGAGCCCACCCAGTCTGTATTGGTGAACGCATATATCTTCCGTTTTGTGGTTTTTTGAAAGAGTAAACTCTTACCCAGTGCATTTTTTAGTTATATAAAAATACTTTTAATTGCTTCAAGGTTTTTTTTGAGAGGGAAAATGCGTAAATTGACTTACCAAATTTACAAAAAAGGCAATATATGGTCGTGTATGTAATGATTATATCAACTTTCATGCCAACTTTTGATTGAACCGTATTCACTGGGCCATCATCCTTCTCATATCTCAGTTTCTGATTGGGATAAATTGGAGTGTCTACAGGCTTACAACCACTCATTCATGTTTCCTTTAGCAGATCAAGAACATACTTTCATTAGGAAACAATAATCCTTTTCTTCAATCTAGCAACTTCCATACCAAGAAAATACCTAGGAGTTCCTAAACCCTTGATCTCAAAAACTGATGAGGCAAAAGTCTTCAAATGGTTTAGTTCATGCATGTCATCTCCAGTGATAATTTTAGTATCCACATACACAAACAACATGGCTATCTTCCCTTCCTTGGAATGTTTGAAGAATATTATATAATCTCATTGCTCTTGAGTATATCTTTGACCTTTAACAAACAATATAAATTTCCTGTACTTTGAGTTTTTTTAGTTTACATACCTTTTTGTCGAACTTCTCACTAAATCCTAAAGCGGCCTACATGTACATTTCTTCATCTAGGTCCTCATTGAGAAATGTTTTTTTTATATCCAATGATTGTAGAGCTCAATTAAAATTAGCTGTAGGTGACACAATGACTCTGATAAAGTTTAGTTTTGCTACTGAAACAAATGTCTATAAGTAATTATTATCATATGTCTGAGTGAATCTCTTGACAACCAATCGAGCCTTGCACCATTCTAGAGAGCCATTAGAATTATATTTTGTTGTAAACACCTATTTGCATCTAATAGTTTTCTTATCTTTAGGTAGATCAACTAATTCTCATAAGTCATTTTTTTTGGAGCTTCTATCTCCTCGTAGATAGCCTCTTTTCATTTAGAAACTTTCAAAGCATCCTGCATTGTATTAAGAATCTCCATACATGACAAATGTGTGGTAGAAGTCCAAAAAATGGGCATGAGACTTTCATATGACACATAATGAGAAAATGAATCTTGGGTACAAGACCTCACCCCCTTACAAGCAACATTGAGATGAGAAATTATTAGATTTATGATTAGGGCTAGACTCAGGTTCAAGACTAGAAAACTCAGAACCGGAAGATGAAGTGAACTGGGATAAATGCTCAGTGAGGACATATACTTGGAGGATCGGAGATTATGAGCAATGCAAATGATTCATAGACTCCTTATTTTCAGTAATCTTTGGTCATGAATAGACAATATCAAATCGTACTAATGTTTTTTGTATGATTCTTCTTCTTTAGTTATTATAAGCGTATTAACATCATCAAATGACATTGTAGGAAGATCTGAATCGTATTTAATATTTAAAAAATTAGACCAATTTTATTCTGATATTATATCTTGAATTTTTTGGTTGATGAATCAAAGTTGGAGAGATATTACTTTGTGAGTTTTCGATTTAAAGAAATTCTTGAAATCCAATAATCAAATTTTTGTTTTAATCCTCCCCCCTTAAAGATGAAAAGAAAATGATTGTTGTAATTCCAAAAAGGTGAGATCTATGAAACAAACATTTTTTTTTTAAATGCGATCAAAATATTTATACCATTTTTGGGTGGGAGCATAACCAACAAACACACATTTTATGGCTCAGGGTTCAAGTTTTCTTTAATTATGACTATGAATGTGAACAAATGCAGCACACCTAAATATCTTTAAAGATAAAGAAGATGAAAGCCGATTTGTTGGATAAAGTTTATGAAAAACCTTAAAAAAATATATCAAAGTTCAAAACTTTATTGGATGCTCTATTAATGAGAAATGCAACAATAAGAGCGGCTTCACTCCTAAGATGTTTTGACTCTTGGTTTTTCAATAGAAATGCTTGAGTTACCTCCAATAAGTATTTATTTTTGGGGTTTTTACCCAAAACTTTCATATTCACTTATCTCACACCAAAACTTTTCATTTTTACAAATATCTTATGAAAAGTAGTACTCATTATCACATTTTAATCACCAAATCCATCTTTTCATCTATACATAAAGTGTTATGTGTGAAAAAATAAAACTTTGGGTGTAAGATAGATAAATCCATAAGAATTTGGTGATATATATGTAGTTTTCTCTTTATTTTTTTTATTTCAGTCTCATTATTTTTTTTTTGTGTCGGCACAAGAGCTTTGATGAACTATTCTTTTTTTCAGAAAGAAAACAACCCAAAATATTTTTGAAATACTCTTAATTATTATTACTCTATAATATTTAAATGATTTTTTGAAATGGTGTTTATACGATAGTATAATGGTTTTTGAAAATTGTTTTCACTTATTTTTTTTTTATTAAATACATTCAACTTAATCTTGTGTGATCATCAGTAAAGGTAACATATCATTTTATTTAGAGTGTGTGAGATATTTATAAGGGCCCCAACTATGAATTTGAATAAAATGTGTAGTTGGTTTGTAAATTTGCTGAGGAAAAGACGCATGATAACGTTTGAAAAACAAACAAATTTTATATTGTCAAGTTGGTATTCTTATTTTTAAATAAACTGGAAAACATGAGTTTTAAATATTTGAAATTAGGATGACATAACCTATAAGTCATGGCATAATATCACTGTCTTTGGAAAAAAAAGCCAAAATTTAAACTAATATTTTGACATTGTCTATTCACATCAAGTTCATCATCAAAGTATTAGAGTCCATTATTTTTCTTAGCACTGCTAATCATGCTCCTAGTGGTCAATTCTTAAAACTCACAATAAGAATAGTAAAAATTAACCTGAAACTGATAATCAAAACTAATTTTGCACAATAGATTATCAGGCAAGTTGGAAACATGGAGCATACCACGAAGGGTTAACAATAATGTGAGTTTGACAGTTCATATTTCAGTAATTACCGAAATGAAACCATCGACAATTTTGACCATTTTATTGCCTGCATAAGGTCTATAAGATGAGAATAATTTAGAACAATTAGTCATATAATCAGTTGATACAGAATTAATTATTTGAGAATGAATAAAATTAAGGTTAGCACTTAACAATGTTGTGGCTAGAGAGTTATCATTCTGTATTGAAGAGCAAGACAAAATTAGTGACAAATTTAGGGATTGAATTTGTGCAGGTGCTCTAATTGCTCCTCGATGGAAGGTATTGCATTAAAGTTGGCAGAAGGTTTTGGGTTTCAACAGCAGTGGCTTGATCGGTCTGACCTTCACGTTTAGATTTTTGTTTCGAATTTGCGGGTTTATCATGAATCTTCCAACCTGTCCCCTTCATATGCCATGGTTTTTTGCAATGCTCATGCCTAATGGGTGGGGCGAAGTGGTTTTTGAATTGTCGAAATCATTAGAAATGGTAGAAATTCTTTGGGTGTTAGTCATCTCCAATTTGTACGACATCATCAAATTCTGCATGAGAAAACTCACGACCATCGACTACATCAAAGAAAAACAATACTAGCAGGGCTCTTTCTAGGAAAAAAAATAGAGCCTAATTCATGATTGGGCTTCGATTTGTGAGTTCGATTATGATGAGAGTTCAATGGTGTGTTTGATTGTGATGGAAAATAGAAACTCGAGGAGCTCCTGCTTCGACCATGCCTTCGGAGTGTCTTCTCGTGGCAACGATAGGTCACGAGCAGCGTCTTCCGCGGGCTACGATTTTGCAAGCATCCTCACGACTTGTGTTCCTTGCAAGTGTTCCAAATCGTGAGTTCAGACACGTGGATAAAAAAAATTGGCTTCGATTGTGAGTTGTGGCTACGAAGAAGAAACATCTATGAGTCGCAACTACGATATCTTATCTTCGTAGAAGAAGACCATGATTTTGGAGGACACACGAACAACTACTTCAATCATGAGTTCCGTCACGATGGAAAACCGGATGATGCTTCCAAGGAAGATGCGTGATCAGAGGAAAGATAAGGGACATCTTGTGTCTCTGAATGTCGTGATTCGATTATTTCCTTTTGTAACGAACTCTAATCACTACTCTCATGAGAGGTTTTTGAATGATGCAATCCAATCATTGCCTTCTGAGACGTGATCCAGTCACTATCTTCCCAGTGAGCTATAATCGAGGTTGTATCGCAGGGGGTCACAAATACGATGGTTTTGGCGAACCCGGAAAGGGAAAGTCAACTGACCTTTGCGAATGAACTCGACAGGATTAGGATGACATTTCAAAGCCGAAGATGGGCTTTGATGCCATGCGAAGATGGGCTCTGATACCATGTAGTTTTTTGGAGGTGAAAATAATTATTCCTCTTCAATTCTCTGAGACTCAGTTACAAGATAAATAACAGAGAAAGACTACCACATTATAAAAGCTATAAAATCTTCATTATAGAAAAAGGAAGTAGAAATGACAACAGCTAATCCTAAAAATAGAAACTACTAAAAATAAAAAATAATAAAATAGAAGATACCAAAAAGTGGGGTTCCCTAAAATTCCGACATATACCAAACCTCCATTTTTTCCCTTTTCTGAAACCTTATTTCCAATCTCAACAAATCATATTAAAACTGCATGTTACATTCTCCTGCAGGTACGTCGTCGACGCAGCTGATCACGACAACTTATCTATTACGAAAGGCGAACTCCATGACTTATTGAGCAAGCCTTCACTCACTGGCATTCCATTGCTGCTACTTGGGAACAAAATTGACAAGCCAGAAGCTCTCTCTAAAGAAGCCTTGACAGAAGAAATGTAAAATCCTTATTTTTGAAAAAAAAAAAATTAGTTTATAGCTTCATTAATCATTTATAGCTTCATTAATCATTTATTTGTAGTTTGAACTTATGAAATACTGTAATTTAGGGATCTGAAAGCCATTACTGATAGAGAGGTTTCCTGCTTCATGATCTCTTGCAAGAACACGACCAACATTGATGTTGTTATAGAATGGCTTGTGAAGCATTCCAATTCTAAGAGCTGAGTATCTGGGCTTCTGCTGCTGTGAATCTGTTTTGACGTTTGGGGATTTTGTTTGGAGTGAACTGGATTTATGTTTGAAATTTTTTAATTTATGTGTTTTTCTGTATTAATTTTGATTGATTGTTGTGAGCAAATGCTGTATTGTTGTGCAAATTGTTAGGATGAAATATATAATATTCCTTTTCTCGATTTATATTTTTTATTACATTTGGGTGATTTTCACATACAATGTAAATTGCAGTCTTCGGACAACTTCCCTTTGCCATCGTTGTTGCCTCTCGTCTTTTGCTGCTCAACGACCATTGCCTCTTGTCGGCAACAGCCTGTCGCGACCGTCGCCCCCTCCCCTTGCCACTATTGCTGATGGTGTTTTACATTGATTTCATTTTTCTCTAAACCAAACACAAAAATGTGAATTCATGCATCTAGTTTACACCAGATCAAATAACTTCAAAGTATTTTAAATATTCAATTTCAATTATGGTACATGCTTTGTATATTACATTCATTTTTCAACAATTTGTACAATTCATTAATAAAAAATTGGTTGGTATTGTGCTCATATTAGTTTTTTGCTTCAAAATAATTTGATTTTACTCACACACATACAATTATATATTGGGTCTGTAAGACCTCTGGGGTCATGGGTTCAATACCGTTTATGTGTGGAATAAAATTCTGAGGCATATGAGGTTGGCCGAGAGGTTCGTCTAATTGTCTCTAGCAGAAATATATATAGACACACACACACACACACACACATACTATATAGACACACACACACATATATACATATATATGTTTGCATTCTAAAATTCTTGTTCCCAAGAATTTCTCTAAACAAAATAAAATTTTAGTTTTGAAAATAATTTTAGGGACATTTATAAGTCTATATCCAACCCCCTCCAACTAATGATAAATTAAATAAATTTAATCATTTTAAAGCATGATTTGTAACTATAAGGAATCAAATGAACCCTAAGATTAATCATAATGACAGAAGCATATAGAGATGAAGGTGGTTGACTGGCCCACAACAATGGTGAAACTATAGTTAATAACATTCCTGTGGGTGGCCAACAATGGTGAAACTATAGTTTTACTTGGTTTACCCACAATTATTATGTTTTTATATATCTAATACTTAACTTCAATATTCATATATATAATATTATAACATTCAAATCTTTAACATCACGTTAAAATGTCACAATTATTAAATATTTTTTATGTGAATTTAGGGTTTCATACTTAAATTTTAGTATAATTATAATACTTAAATGTTATATATTTGGAGGTTAGGGGTGACTACATAAAATGTTAGTATGCCATTATATCTATGTAATTTTTTTTTTCTAAAACTTAATTTGGACAGCATAATTATTTTGTATTTATTTATTTTCATCAATTTAGCTTAAACTAATTAATGAATTTAAATGGACTTTTATTTTTTTTTTTTTTATAAAACTTAATTTGGACAGCATAAGTATTTTGTATTTATTTATTTTCATCAATTTTGCTTAAACTAATTAATGAATTTAAATGGACTTTTATGAGCAATTCAATAAATTCAATAATATTTACCATCTCAATATAAATATAGAACTTTGGAAACTTTTAATATTACATATCTCACACCTAAACTTCAATATTTACATTCTTAGCACCGAAAACACTAAGATAAAAACAAAATCAACACCCACTGTTAATGTCACCATTAACGTCATCGGAGCGAGGCCAAAGGAGGTGAAAGACGGGAGTTTCAGAGATCTTTGTATGGCGCAATTCCGTCGTTGTCTTCTACGAATGTCTTTGTACTTTATGATCCAGTTGTCACATAAAAGAAAAAAAAATGTTAGAGTTCCTTTGTTTTCAGGTGGGATCGAAGCGAAAGGAGCAATATAAGAGTTTTGGCAATCTTTGTATGCTGCAATTCCATTTTTGCCTTCGGCAGAAGTACTTGTAAGTTGCGATCCATTCGTCTCTAAAAGAGAGAGACAAGAATTCCTTGGTTTTCAGCGGGATCAAAGCGAAAGGAGAAGCAAGATAGGAGTTTCATCGATCTTTGTACACCGCAATTCAATAGTTGTCATCGATCTTCAGAGGCCTCTGTATGCTGCGATACCCTCGTTGTCTTCGACTCTTTGTGCATTACAATCCCATCATTGCCAAAAGAGAGAAATGAGTACTCATTGGTTTTCGAGTGGTATCATGGCGGAAGGAGGAGCAAGATGAGAGCTCTGGAGATCTTTGTGCCGATTCAATGGTTGCCTTCAAAGATCATTGTAAGTTGTGATCCCATCACCACCAGACAAGAAGATGGGTGCTCCTTAGTTTTCAACTGGAATTGTAGTTAAAGAAGCAAAATAGCAACTCCATCGTTACTATTGGAGGTCGTTGTATGCTACGATTTCATTGTTTCTATGTATTTACAAATTTAACAACTAAACTTTAATTTATATATATCTCACTATTTAAAAATTAAAATAATAATATTTGTGATGTGATGTGAAAGATTTGGATGGTATAAATATAAAAAAAATGAAGTATAGGTGTTAGATATGTAAATGCATCATAATAGGATGGTATACATGTAAATGCCTCTTACAATAAGACAGACCCCTTTTTGTTACAACAAAACTACCCTTCTCTTCAATAAACTTTGATAGAAGCAAGAAAACTGAATCAAAGCATTCCATTTCATGCATCACATACAATAAAAAAATATTGGGGTGCACTTACATACATACCGCAATTCTCATATATTTACACATCTAACCCCTAAACTTTCATATTTATAAATGTCACTAAAATCTTTGACATATATCTATTTAAAAGTGAAATACATCTTTTCATGCATAAGTTTCTAACAATGTTATAAACGTAAATATCCAACTTCAGGCGTTAGATATATAAATACACAAGAATTGTATGGTATGTATGTAAATTTCCCAAAATATTTACACAAAACCAAATAATTTATAGCACAAAAAAAAGATATTTCCAACTGAGTAATGTCTACTAATTAACCAATAAAATTATAATCAGAAAACCAAGCATCAGACAATATATACATATAAAAAAAAGGTTGGGGGAAAACAAAACTGCAGGATATTTCCAACTGAGTAATGTCTGCCAATTAACCAATAAAATTATAATCAGAAATGCAAGCATCAGACAATATAAACATATAAAAAAAAGGTTGGGGGAAAACAAAACTGCATTTTAGTTCAGCACATAACGTTGGAATATCATTTGCAATCAAACAAATATTTTATTTTCATAATTTTAAAAATTATATATAATTAAATTAAGCTCCAACAACCTCAGCTTCACCTTCCATAGAAACATCCTCTACAGGCCTATCAAGCTTGACACCCAAATCTTCCTTGTAATCACCATGCACCTGCAATCATCATGAAGTGGTAAGTAAAACTCATGTTATTCTAATGAAGATTTTTATACACACAACACTCGGATTCCTATGTTTTTACACATCTAACATCTAAACTCCAATTTTTACATGCAATACACCCTACCTATGTTTGAAAAGGTGCATTTCACCTTTTAAAAGAAAAAAGGTGGCATTTTTTATGTGATAGATTTGTTAATACATAGGAATTGGGTGAGTGGCATGTAAGTGAGTGGAACAAATCATACATATCTACAATCAGTTCAGAGAGAGCGGCAGCAAGCATGCATACCTCCATGAGCTTCCCAAGATCAAATTTTGGAGCCTTCAAAATCTTAACTTTTCGAATAAACACATTCTGAAGCGGGTAAATACTTGTCGTCGCCTTTTCAATCTCCTTGCCAATCACCTCGGGAATGAATTTTTGCACCAGTTCCTTTAGATCACAGGACGATGCTTGGTTTATCATTATCTCTCTCATTTTTCGACGAATCTATAAAAAACAGCAAAAAATGGCAAGTAAACTTATGAAAGTTGAAAAATAAAAGGGGTTGACCAAATTAGAATAGAAAATTTAATTTTGGGGGTGCCGAACCTGTCTGATCTGACTGGACTGAGCATAACAAGTGCGCTTGACCTGATTAGGGCGTCTTTTTGTGAATGCGATACAAAATAGCCTCATGGTGTAGTTGTCGGTGGTCTTCACATCTACTTGTGCCTCAATGAGAGTTTGCCACTTGCGAACTAGGGACCTGAGTTTATCAGTAGTAAAATCCATGCCCTATGGTAAAGAATGTCCAGCATATAATCATTAGTGCCTAAAATAAAATAATAAATATATATAAAAAAAAGTTTTTTGGTGGCTTACCCAGAAGTTTGTGAGGACATTCTTGCCTTGCACATCTTCTGCACGAAGCCTAATCTTTCTGTAAGCTTGATCTTCATCATTCTGAAGGTCTGCCAGAGAGATCTCAAATACTCTGTGCTTGAGACCTTCGGAGGCTATCTGAGATAAGAAGATGAAACAGTTCATCTAAATCCTGTGGTTGACTGACAATTTGGTCATAAAATCATAATTTGCTGCTAAGCAACACCGCATTGCTCAATTAGAATATATATCAGGGACATACTTATTTTTAAAAAAGATTTATAAGAGGCATTTATGTACATACAACACAATTCTTACGTATTTACATATCTAACACCTAAATAAAATGTTCAAAATTAAAAGCTTATAATAGTATCTAGTCTTTTCTGTATTTATTTAGGGCATCTATTTCCTTTTCTTTTAAAAGTCATAATCAATTTTTAAGGTTTAAAAAACCAATCTCACGTCTGAATACCAACAAATTATTCAGATATCAGATTGCTATTCCTTCGCTCAGTATTTCTGTACACCAGCAGCTTCATACTCTGCCTTCATATGAAGCTTTAACCACTATGTTTTGTCGCTAAAACAGAGAAAAAAAAGAAACAAATAGTCCTGTTTCTTTTTCAAGCTACAATATCAATCTGCAACAGCTGTTGCTACCTCCTACAACAGACCACAACAAAAACAACAGTCGTCACGTCATGCACCTCCTCGCATTATCATTGCTCCTTGTTCCTAACAAAAAACTTTCAACTTCTTCCTTTTGTTGCCGGTCTCTACAATATTGAGAAGACATTGTCTCTTACTTCCAGTTTCTTACAGTCATTCACTGTCATCTATGAGCATCTGCGGATCAACAGACTATCTGAGTTAACACCCAAAAAAACTGAAGTAGAACCTAAGGTTAAATTGTTCTTTGGCTAGGTATTGTATATCCTCTAATTTTAATTCAAGTTATTTGGTAAATCTAATTGAGTGCTGCCTATTTACATGATATGATTAAGATCTTGTTCGTCATGTTATATTTTTATCTTTGTAGCAAAAGAGTTAATATCTAGTCGAATTCGAATTATCTTTGTCAAACATATCATATATGATACATTGATCAACGGTTACCTCATAACAATAACCATAACCACGGTGACTTCATATGCTTGATCAAGGGTGCATCTGATTGGCTGGTTGACATTATGAGATTCTACTAAAACATTATCTAGTATTGTTTAGAATAACTGTTCAGCTCAGACCTGAAAAAAAAAAAAATATTGAAATAGTTCCATTTCATCATCCAATATTAATTAATATTTTTAAATTAGATTTTTTTATAAAATTTTGAAATAGAATCATAGCAGCTCATTCATTTTCTATAATTTATAGCATGAGGGATTGCTTGGGGGTTGTTTGGTTTGGTGAAAAAGGAATGTAGAGTGAAAGGAATATAGTGTTAAAGGAATGAATTGTATTTAGATTAATTTTGAGTTATTGGTTCGGTGTAAAATAAAGCCAGGCTTTGTATTCTCTTATTTAATTTGAAGAAAAAAGCATTCAATCTATAATAGAGCCATTAATGTGAACAACAACTGGAGCGCGGCAGGTCCCGAATGGCGGTGGTAGAGGTGGCGGGCACCACAGGCATCAAGAAGCAGTCAGCGGTGGCGGCAGGAGCTACATCATCACTTTACACAAAACCGTGTATTATAAATTTGCCCAAATCTAGTGAATCACAAATACATTGAAAATGAACTAGATAATGAAATGCAAATACATTGAACTACTGACAAACGCACAATGAATGTAATGAATGTAACGCACATGCACTACTTTTGCTGCTGCCGAACAACACCTTAATGAATTCCATTCAATATATATTATTCATCCAAATATTAACTTTTTTTATTTGAACCTTGATTAATTGCAAGAAATTTATCAAGCACATTGAAATGTATAGAAAAAGTTCATAATTAGAGTATTAAATTCATGCAACTCCATTCCAACAGATAATCATGCATCATATAATGGTGTGTTCTTTATTAGCCATAATCAAAACATGCATTTTAACGATAGAAAAAAATTTGATATGCATGATGAAAGAAATAGAGTTTTTATGATTTCATGTTTATGGTTACATTAAAGTATATTACGTCTTAAACTAGACTTTTTCCTACTTGTTTATTGCACTCCACCTAGAGCAAACTACCAAACAGTCTATGAACCTTGCAAGGCTATAAGAAAGCTTAGTCTTGAAGCAAATATGTAGTTTTGTGAGTTAACATTCATCTAAATTATACTTCAAATATAAAAGACCATTTGCCATGTTGAAATAAATCAAACCAACAAGTGACCTAAGGATTCTTCTTCAATTAGAATGTATGCCCATCCAACCATTATTCCTTATGCAACAAAAGATTGCTCAAGTATTGATTGTTGAGGTTATCAATACATGAATAGCATTATTCGAACTCACATTATAGACATTTTTTTGTTGATTTGGGCATTCGAAATTACATGATACATGAATGCCACATGAAGGGCAAACCATCCAGAGTATCAGGTTCCAAAGTCCTTCAAATAGAGCTTCTATTCCTATAAGAGTTAAAACAAAGCAATCGAGTTAGGTGCATTTACATACATACACACAATTCAAATGTATTTACATATCTCACACCTAAACTTTCATATTTATACACAACACTCAAATCTTTAATGTCACATAAAAAATAATGCTATTACCATTTTTTAAAAGTGAAATACACCTTTCATGCATAGGCTAAAAGCAACAAAGTGCTATGTATGTAAATATTAACGTTTAGGTGTAAGATATGTAAATACATAAGAATTGCGTGCTATGTATGTAAATTTCCAATTAATTTATTACATGAAGTTATCGATATCCCACCAAATCCAACATTAAATTAGGTATCAAAGCCTCTAACTTATTCAGTCCATTTATGTCCTTTCTTCTTTATTAACTTGTTAGCTAGGTCAATAAGTGCAAAATGCTGTAATTGTTAAGGTCATGTTAACCCAACATATTGGATCAATATGATTCCATCCCTTCTTCACTCAATCCGATCGAAATAACTAGAAATCTTCTATCAGTAAAATTTTCTTCATCCTTTATGACTACTCTTTCATTGTTTTATACTCTGTTTATTGTTGTTCCGATATTTCCACATTCTCAATAAAATTAAAACTAGTCCTATGATATTTCTGTTGACCTCATTTTTAGTGAGGTCTTAGTCTAAAACCTCTTATTTTCATGTCTCTATTGCCACTCTATCAAACTGTTTCTATTATAAGCGCATATGAGCCTCAAACAAAAATTAATTAACATTTATACTCTCATAGAGTTGATGGTGTTAACTTCGTGGAGCAAATATTTCAATGCTTATTTGCTACTATTCATTGGAAAATTCCATATAAATTCTAATAATTAAATTTATATGCATGCTCGACTTGATTTTGATCTAATCTTTGAAGTATTTCTATCTTTCTGGAAAAGAGAATGCTAAGATAGAAGAATGGAAAAAAAAGTTAAAAAAACAAAATTAAAGAATGTATGCTAGAGAAACAATTACAGAGACGTCCATTGAAGTTAAGGCATATAAAAATAAATTAGATGGTATGGACATGACAATGAATGGTAGAAAATGCTCCACTTAGATGACTGATTAAGATTAGTCCCAAGGGATTAGTAGGGAGTGAGCAAATATGAGGCTACATGAACACAAATTCCTCAAAATAATTTGCAATAAATAAATTTAATGAAGTGTGAACAGATGGAAAATGAAGAATCATAAAGCCAACCTCAAATAGCTGGGATACGACCAATGATGATGACAATAATGGCATTTATTGACAGCATAGAAACATAGATTTATAAATGATACGTAACTAGTAAGACGTGATCATAAAAAGAGCAGATTACAACATGGAGTACAGGAAAGGTTTTTAGATCATAAAATACCAAAACATCCTATAAACCCTCGAAAAAAATATTTGTAAAACTATCTACAGGGAATTAAATGTCAGGGATCTAGCTCAGGGTCCGTCCAGGGAAGCGAATGTGTCACCTTGGTTCCCTGCGTCCTCGACACAAGAGTTTTCCCAATATTCCTCACAGTGAAAATTGATGGGGCTTTGATATCGTACCAATCCTTCTTGGAAAAGGGATCCACGCTGCAAAAATAATGTCGACTCAAAAAGAAAGAAGATATTGAGGAAAACAAGACAACAAAAACTGCAAGCAAGCACTAAGCAGGTTCAAGGGATACGCACGTCTTCTTTTTACCTCCCTTCTTACCCTTTGAGATTCGCTTGTTCTTCCTGAGATTTTGGAGTCAGAACAGTTAAAAGATGTAGATATAAGAGAGAGAAGATCGGATCAAGCAAGAAACTCTAACCCGACTGCCATGTCTCCGCCGCTGCGAGATGCCGGAACTGCAGAGGCTGCTGCTGCTGCTGCTAGGGTTTTAAGCAATCGAAGATAAATTATTCTGCAACAGTTTATTTGCTCTTGGAATTGGCTCGAAATATTCATAAAATTAAATAGTATAATTTAGAATTAATTAATTTTTATACAAATATTTTTTAGAAAAAATATTATTTTAATTTTATTTAAAAATTAATTATGATGATAGTTTGGTATTCTAATAAGCCAATTTCGAGACTAATACAAAAACATGAATAAGTTTTTCGAGCCGAACACGAACACTTAGTTATGATAATAGTTTGGTATTCTAATGAGCCAATTTCGAGACTAACACAAGAACATGAATAAGTTTTTCGAGCCGAACACGAACACACTATTAACGAGCCATTTCAAACACAAGCCAATTTCGAACGAGCCAAATACATCTCAAGCCTGAGCTCGCTCGGGCTAGATGGGTGTTCCACACAATTGGGCATTTACATACAAACCACTCAATTCTCATGGATTTATATTTTTTTAGCATCCAAATTTCACTTTTATATTTATACGACCTAAATCTTTCAAATCATTTAGTCAAATTAGTAATCAACTATTTTAAGAGGGATTGAAGTAGACCCAACCTAAAAAAAATCTAAAATTATGATTAAAATTAATACAGGAGATGTGGGTAAGAGGAATGCTTCATAGTTTTAATATTTGGTTACCAAAGTGCATAGGACTATCAAGGGGGAGGGGAGTCATGCTGTGAGTGCGATCGACAATGAAACCAGCACGAGCGGGCTTCGAAACCTCCCATCCAAGGGGCATCGACAACACATTTTTTTCAATATATTAAATATTTTTAAAAATATTATCATTTTACTAAAACATCATCAACTTCCTTCGAGATTTACATAGCACACAATTCTTAAATATTGCATCATTTACCACTTTTTAAATGACGTAAGTTGAGCTCTATTTGACTATAACTGGTTTTGAGCTCTCTAAGGTAACCATCTTTGTTGCTTTCATCACTAATGTCAGACTAGAATATCAGAAATTCGGATGAAGACATCGATTACACCACATGATTATGCATAATAGTGTCATGCAATTCACGCCATCGTCCATATATTCAGACGACTTGGCATAATATTCCATCCATCAAATGGGGCAAAGCCATGCATTGGGAGACCTCACTCTGCGTGCCCACACAAGCAAAACACCTGCACTGGTGTTACCCAACGGGCGATCATCACATTCATTTAATGCTAATACCGAGGACAAGCGTGCACTGGTGTTACCCAACGGGCGCGGGAAGAGCTGTATCATCACATTCATTTAATGCTAATACCGAGGACAACTAAAAATGGGTACACATGGTGCTGCCCGCGACAAAATACTAAGCCTGGGCAATGTATGTGCGAACGACAATGTGATTGCAAAATAATGTGGAACAATCCACGCCATACATGATATTTTCTCGTTACGCTCGTTCCCATCCATCCTTTTTGGGCACTATGGGTGTAATATTTGAAGTGAGGTAAATTCAAGGGAGAGGGGTGGCCGGATGGGTTAACAAAACAGGAAATATATATTTTTTGCATGACATAAACAAAAAGATTATCTTATAAAAAAACATTCTACTACAATTGACGCTGTCCGTGAAAATTCTAGCCACAACAATGAAATCTACTAAGTTTGACATCGGGAAATTCATCAGAATGAATGATTTTGGCTTGTGCAGGGAATCCATTTTATGTAGATTTGTAATTGATAGTAATGAAGCTATGAATTATTGTGATGACTCTCAATTACGTAAACTAAGACGACACCACAATATATAAGAAGATTTTCTATAGATAATAGGTACAACGGTTATTTGGCTATGACAAGTGTTTAATTAGTCATCTTGTATGTCCTTATATATATATATATATATATAAAAATGCCAGCTAAAGCCCCACTCCGGGCAGCAATCAAAACTGCCCGCTGCCCATCTCCCTTCTTTAAAATCCCTCGCTCCTTCCCTTCCACATGCCTGTCGCATCATTTCCTCTTTTCACGCTCTCTCTCCTTCGCACCAGATCTAAAAAAACCCTATTCTTCGTGCAGAGATGGAGTCCTCTCTAAGAATGAGGCGCGTAGAGAGCTAGAGGAGATTGTTCGTCAATGAAATTGTGTGGTGTAATCTTCAAGATTGTCTTAGTGAATTGTTTATTGATTCCCTCCTGCGAATGTAGGTCTTATGAACCGAACCACGTAAATTCTCAGTGTTCTTGTTTGCATTTTCTTTGCGGTTTTCTTTTTCCCATTTTGTTGTCCTGCAGTTTTCTTGGCATCATATTCTGCTACAATTGACGTTGTCTGTGGGGATTCTAGCCACAACAATTGGATCTGCTAAGTTCAACATCCAGAAATTCATCGAAAAGAATGATTCTGATTTGTAATTAAAAGTCAAGGTAGAGAATTGTTATGATGACTCTCAATTATGTGAACTAAGACGACATCATAGTTTGTAAGGAGGTTTTCTATAGCTAATGAGTACAACAGTCATTTGGCTATGACAATTGTTTAATTGGTTATCTTGTATGAGTCATTGTCTATATATATGTAATGATGTATATGAGTTGATGGGCTTAAGGGGGAAAAAATTCTGAGAGCAATGTGATGAACTAAGAAAACTCGTATCGAGATCAAGATCGATAGAGAGCTAGAGGAGATTGTTCGTCAATGAAATTGTGTGGTGTAATCTTCAAGATTGTCTTAGTGAATTGTTTATTGATTCCCTCCTGCGAATGTAGGTCTTATGAACCGAACCACGTAAATTCTCAGTGTTCTTGTTTGCATTTTCTTTGCGGTTTTCTTTTTCATGTTACAATGATCATTTTATGAATAAGACACGATTAATACGACATTTTATTGTTCCCTCCTTTCTCTCTCCGTGTCTCTCCCTCTCTCTCACTCACTTCTTACTCTCTATTCCTTTGGTGTGATCACTGACAGAACAAGGTGCAAAATTATTAAGAAGCATTTACATACATAACACACAATTCATAAGTATTTACATATCTAACATATAAACATTCATATTTACATGCATATCACTCAAATCTTTAAAATCACATCAAAAATATCATATTTACTATTTTTAAATGGAAATCACACTTTTTAGCAAAATTTTATTACACCAAAATATTATAAATGTAAATATTAAAATATGAGTTTTACACAAATAAATTTATCGAAAGGTTAAATTTAATATACTTTCTAAACTATATATGAACGAACTACCAAATTTCTTATCTTATATAACTACACTTATAACTCTTCTTATGATGCGAAGTAGAATGGAAGGAGCATCAAAGATAAAATCATGTTAATTTAAAATGCAGAGATTAAAAATGATTATGGGAATTAATAATTGAAGAAGCTCCTTAATTCTTGTTAATCAGAGGACATGCAGTCAATGTCCTCTGAAGCGGCTGATCAGGAGTAGTAGTTGGAAATCGGTCAGAGGAAGGTCGATAGGGGGAGTGGTTTTTTAGTCCATAGGAGCACAGTGGATGAGGACAGTTTAGGTAGATGTCAGACAAAAAAGAGGGAGAAGCCACTGACAGTTCTGATGGCCGGCAACCAAGGAAAATTGGCGGTGAAATAGTTTGGTGTTGGGGCAACTCGTTGGTGGAAGCAGTTGCTAGCTGTGGATGCACGACAAGGGCTTAATTGAGAAAGAGAGAATGAGCTCATTGGTTGTAGGAGGAAGAGTTTGGAGATACGAGCGTGCCTTGTGTTTCATCTGCGAGGAGCGATCAGAGGAGACTGCTTTGAAGGAAATAAGTCCGTTCAAGGGGTGAAGGAAGAAACATGAGATGTCTAGTGGGCAAGGATTTGCTTAAGGGTGGACATATGGCTTCTGGGATGATACTGCTTGGTTACCGATAGAGAGTTGGGTTGGTTGATTAGTGAAGTGGTTAGTTGGTTGCTATAATGGCAATCGACCAGTGAGTCGGTCAATCAATTGCTAGAAGGTTCGAAAAGATGAGAGGATAAATCGATGCAACTAAAAGGTCTTATAACGAACCACGAGGAGAAATAGATGCATAGGAAGAATTGTAGGAGACTCGGGACATTGAATAGATGTGGTGGATGAGTGGCTAGGGGAGCTAGAGTGACCAAATGAATAATTGGAGTCCTTCCTTTGCCGTTCCCCTTGTTGCTCTTCTTTGCTCTTCTTCTTGTTGGCGACACGATCTACGCTCGCACACTTTTTAAAATGTTGAATCAAAATATGTCTGGTAGACCGTGCCCAAAGAATTGAGCGCTGGACCGAGGAGAGGTGATATAGGGAGAGAAATGAGCAAGAGAGAGAGGGAAGAGGAGGACTTCCCCTAGCCAGGGGGAAAATGGGGTATTCCTAGGCTCGTAGACCTATTTTATTCCATAAAATTAAATGTTATAAAAGAGGGGTGCCCCTAAAAAAGTCCCCTCTTTACATCATGAAGTCGAAGATATGAGGGGCAAAATGTACAAAAATTACATATTTGGATATTCATTGAAGAGAGAAGCAAATGATGTTTTAGTCATTTTTATTTCGACCATTGGATTGTCTCGAGATCGATGCAGACTTTCATATCCATGTTTCTTTGCCTTGGTGTTGATGACATTCAATATATAAGAAATTAAGTCGAAGAAGAGAGTTGAGAAGCGCAGAAAATAGAATCAAAGAATCTTTGATAGAGGAATATTCACTTCCATCTTTGGCTCCACTGCTTGATTTCTTTCTTCCGCTGAAGGCTGCGAAAGGGAAGTTGAAGGCTGCTGCACTTGATTCCTTAATTAAAAGTAAAAGCATTTAATTAAGGGAAATATATATATATATTTTTTTTTTCAAAAAAAAAAAATATTTTTTCTTTCCTACCTCTTTTTTTTTTAAAAAAAAATAATAATAATAATAATAAAAAAAAAGGTCTAAGCAAGGATTTTTGCAGAGGAATTTTTTGCAGAAAGTTTTGTTGCAGGAATAATTTTCAGATGGCATTTTCTGGTGCAAAATTCGAGGTGGTGAAGTTCGACGGAACTGGTAACTTCGGATTGTGGCAAACTAGGTTGAAAGATCTGTTGGCACAACAGGGAATCTTGAAAGCTCTGCGGGCAATAAAACCAGATGTCATGGAGGATGAAAATTGGGAAGAATTGCAACAGCGAGTGGCAGCGACGATACGACTATGTCTGGCAGACGAGGTTATGTATCACGTGATGAATCTGAAATCTCCAGGAGAAGTTTGGAAGAAATTGGAAGCTCAGTTTATGGCAAAATCTCTGACGAATAAGTTGTATCTGAAGCAAAAGTTGTATGGGCT